CTAGGGCTAGAGTGGCTGAAACTTGTTGAGAAGTGTTTGGGGCTAATCAGTCGGTGTCTGGTGAGCCAGTTTTACACATCGAATTAGCTAGTAAAAAGGGCTTTTTAAAAAATATCGTAATTTCGATCAAAGGCCTGCTGCCGCTTTTATGGATACGCGCCGATTCTGGATATAAAAAACCGTGGCAGGACATTTGGTTTGTGATCTGTGCTAAGTGCATCAATTTTTATGTGCCGATAAGAGCATATTCGATGTAGTGAAAGCACTGCAACCGTTTCGCATTATTCTGTGCTTTCTAATGCCCGCATGCTGCGGTCTTCCAATAAAAATCCGTTCTGCTTTTGTAAATATGCAAACCGTTGTAGTTTTCATGCTGCCCTAGGATAGCTACTTAAAAAACGGCTGCTGCTTGTTTTGTTGTTCCACTCTTACAACCAATAAAAGTAGCATTAGAAGATGCTCGCACTAAAACCGTCAAGCGAGCAAATGGCTGTTCACTGTGTACTATGATTTTGAAGAACCATTTTAAATCATTGGCTCGATCAGCATGTAATTTTAAATCGAACCAGTAATGTCGCTAGCGTTCCAGGCCGCCGCAAATTAGGAAAATTACCGTTTCTGTCCAAAACTGCACCCACTGCATTTTGCGCCCCATTAGCCTAAATATTATCCTTCTCATCGCTTTGGAGCTAAATTCAAAAATTTCAAGTCCATTTTTCCTCAGTTAGCACCAGTTTTTCATTTTCACACCGATTTCTTAACATTTTGGCTAAATATAGCATTTTCACTAATTTACTTTTGCCTTGTTCTGGCGAAACTTTACTTCTGTGTGGCTAGATTTTGTGCCTAACTGTACAAATTTCATGTCACTGGACAAATTTTACATCAGCCTGTTTGAACCGTGTGCTTACTGTCTCTGTTTTGCACCTTTTTATTTGGGAAATCATTTTTTGAAATTATTTTGAAAACATAATGGAATATGCTGGTGGACAAGAATAGTGGGGAGGTAACATTGCTTTGAGGCAGCTGGCCCAGGGTTCGACCCCAATATGAGACAACCAGCTTCTCAACGATTTTCTTATTCATCTCGGTGGTAAATTGATACTGACATATGCAGAGAGTCAAACCAGCCAACAGCTTACAGTTCTTAAATGGGGATATTGTGCGGAGCCTTGCCTGCAGATGGTTGCTCTTT